TGGGGCAGCCCCTCGGGGGGGCCCCCTGCCATAACCACTCAGCCCTGGTCACAGCCACTGTTGCGGCCTTATATGCCTTACTGTCCTCAGGACTCCCAACGCTCTTCAAACATCTTTCTCAGTGATTTTTGGTCTACTTTTGACACTGGCTTTTGACCTGACTTTATAATTTAACCTACATCCTCATAGTAAAAAGTTTGCTGGTCATATCATTACTGCTAGCAAAATAAGCTGAAGTGAATGAAACTAACACTCAACATTGTATGAAGGCCACGATATGCTAACCCCCTGGACATAGGAATAAAGCATCATACAGTAAATGTGCAGTATATTGATCATCATATAAAACATGGCAGTCCTCCTTCAGAAACTAAAATGAAACAAAACAGTACCAAACATGGGAGACAACAGTTACATGACATTACAAAAGGATATAGAGTGTTTAACGAGGTTGTAGTGTGTGAAGTGTGGGTATTTCCAACTTATGCAGTCTATGAAATGCAAGAAAAGGAAAAGGAGGGGAAGTAAATAAATTAAAAAAATTACTACTAACAATGATGATAACAGTACTATTAAAAAAATCAGCTTGTTACATTTCTAGAGGTTGGTGGGAATGTGCATGGCCTCAGTCCCAGGTATTTGATTCAAGTTGAAATGTGTTAAAAAGAGCAGATCAACTATTCTTATGAGTTGATGCCATTTCACTATTCTTGTGAGTGAATGCCATTTTATCTAATGTGATGTATTCTGTGGTATTCTGTGTGGCATATTTGAAACATATGAAAGCTCCAAACACTGCTTGAGGTTTTTTGCAAACTGCTTGAGGTTTGAAGCTGCAAACAGAATTCCCTGCAGACCTCCCTCTTTCATGTTATTAATTCAGGATAAGACCCCAAAACCTCCAAAATAATAACAACCTGCAGTTATAGGTAGCTACCTCCTTATATGCTCAGATGTCAGAGAGGGAAGTCTAGGAGGCTCTGCTCGGGCTACTGCCCCCGCGACCCGGTCCCAGATGAAGTGGATGAAGATGGATGGATGGATTGATGGATGGATGGATGGATGGATGGATGGATCTCTCACTGAATCCTCTTTTCAGCTGGCTCCAGTTTGTTGGATTGTGGCTTTCTGTTGAAAATCTTCATTTCAGATTAAATCATCATTTAAGCAGGAATTGTGTTTTTTCTTGCTGAATCATGAGGCTTTGGCACAGTTCAGTCGTCCCTCGCCGTCATCCCGCTCTCAGTAGCAGCTCTATTGTTTTCTTCTCTTCCTCCCCCACAGTACTAATGTTACTTAAGGTATTAACTCACATTATTTTAATAGTTTTAATGATACTGATAACATTAGTTGATACAGTAATAAGCATTAACTATAAGTTATATAATACAATAATAAGCATTAAATAACTTAAATGTTTCTTGGTAACTAATGCAATAAATAGTCGATAAAGATATTAACATGCATTTCATGAAGTTCACAGCTTAGCAGTTTCATTAGGAGAATGCTCTTTTAATGTTCATTTAAGAGTAATAATTGTCTACTTGTTATGTCTGTGGGCTCTCTCACCGAGTGGTGAGAGAGAGAGAGACAGAGAGAGAAGCTGGACCCAGAATACAAAATATCAATTCAGGGAAGTCAGAAGTGCTTTTATTACAAATTAAGGTAAGTACTGATGTGTCAGGTCCACTCGGTGTGACCTGCCTCTCTTCCACCTTTCTCTCCTCTGCTCTCTCAATCCTGCGGGATCTGCACCTCAGCTGTGTTGCATTCAGTAATTAGCGACTTGTTTGTCGGTGCGCACAGCTGGGGTGCATCCCGATGATTACCTTCTTCCTTATTTATAGCTCTGGCAGACGACTCTGTCGTCTCCGGAGCATCAACATACCTACATGTAACTTGCACACCCCGTTACAGCCTTATATTCGTGGTATGTATCAGACTCATTTGGACTTCCACGCTGACGGTTTGTGCTGTGGACCTCTTTGTATGTTTAGTTTTTATGAGATTAGCGATGTGAACTTAGAATTCAACGCTGACAGTGCCTGTGCTGTTGTTTTCTTTGGTCGTTCGTCACCCTCTTATTTTTCACCTATCTGTCCTGGTCCTCCTACTCTCCTGGTAGATAGCGATTTGGATGACGATATTTTGGACGAAGATTTCGTTCCAAGTGCTGAGGTAAGACTTTGATTCCAATGCAAGATACAGTCTGTTTGATAAAATGTTCTTTGTGTGATAGTTAGAGCTTGATCACTTGTAACTTTTATCATCATTACTGTATCTGCAGCCATCCTCCAGAGAACACGGAAAAAGACCAAGAACTGTTTCTGTGGAGCACGTGGGTGAAGGCGCGGAGCAGCAAGGAGAGGTATGTTATAACCATGCTAGATACCATCTGATTGATAAAATGTGCTCTGTTTGAGACTTACAGCTTCCAAATTGTAATTTATTATTTCGAAACTATTACAGGCTGAGCCAGCTCCGGGACCATCGCGTGAGCAGCAAAGAACTGGAGACGTCTTTATGTCTAAGTGTGGTGCCATCGCATGGTCTTCTTGCCCATCAAAGGAGCCACCCCGCCTTGCTGCTAATGAGATTACAATGCAACCAGGGGCAACTAGAATGGCAGTCTCCAATGTCCAAGA